CAAACCATAAAAGGAACACAATTGATCAGTCCATGATCATCTGTTATCAGTAAAAGAGAAGCCTCTTCCAAAGTGTAATCAAAGGGCACCAGAACTCTTTTCACTAGTGCAAGCCAAACCCCACATTTTAACTTTCTTCACACACGCATGTACAATAAACAAATTATATGTGATCATCATGTCATGGAAGGTCAAACTTTAAGCAAACATAACTCACAGCTGGGGGAGCATAGGGGAGAGAGAGCAACCACCGCCTTTTATCTATAAAGTTCTGGTACCTTCTTGCACTCAAAGCAACTACATTTTTTGGGGTAATTTATATATTTAGCCTACTAATTGTTCCGGTGATTTCGTTTTAGTCATTCGACTATTTTTTTTTTCAAAATCATATTGGGCATTATGTTTTGGTTTCATTTCTATCACCCGCAGTTAAATTACATATTTTACATAACTATTGACATGATATTTTCATTTTTCCCAACAATGATGTGATATTATCTTATGATGACACGTCAACTTCACTATTAATTTCTTAACGGCGGGTGCCCAACATGAAACCAAAATGCGACGTTATGTATGATTTTGAAAGAAAAATAGTCGAGTGACCAAAACGAAATCGAGCAAATAGTTAGGTGATTAAATATGCAGTTTACCATTTTCTTCGTTAGATGAAGCACCAATCAAGCAAAAAGATAACCATTGATTCCTCACCCCTTTTCACAATTGAAGAAGGGTACACCTAGTTTTTCTCTTTTGAACTTTTGGAATCCTTAAAGAGTTGGCAACAAAAGGGAAGAAGAATCCCACTTAGAATAAGCCTGAGGGAGAAAGGCTACTTTTTCCCACCACTAATGGTGTGGAAAAATTAGGGTTTTGTGCCACTCATCTCTTTCATCCTTTGCAAACAAGCATATTCAACTTTTAGGGGGGGAAATATTGAAGAAAAGGCTTGTAAGATTGATTGACTGACCCTTGTTGGTACGTCTATGTGAAAAGCAAGACATGCCTACGTGAGGCACTTAAACCATACACATTAAATATATGCATCCAAGGTGTGATATTTGGGCTTCATCAAGGGATAAAAGACATACTTAAAAAGACACCCAACTTTCAGCAGGGTCTACCTTGATTAGTTGATAAATAATATTCTTGTATAACCAATAATTTGAATATAATAAACTATAAAAAATCACAAAACCTTTTATATAACCGAAGTTAACGATCATATTAGATATTTATAATTGATTAATAACATTAATCATCATAACATGACTTTTTAAATATAAATAAGTATACATTTTTAATAAATTGAAATGATTACAAGGTAATATATATTCAAAATCTTTATTAACTATCAGTAATACATACATTATAGATGCAACTGTTCAAACCTAAATCCTCTAACGATAAACACTCTCTTTTATCACTGAGACCATTTGTTAAATTCATAATTATATTTTATTAAACATTAGAAATCTCATGCTCTATTTTTTTTCTTGGTATGAAATGGAACCAACAAAATTGATAACGATAAAGTATATCTAAGATTTATTTACTCTTGTTGATAATTTTTAGATCAAATAGTTAAAAGCTTTCGGTTAACACACCCTTTTTTGGTTACAAAAAGTTTAGACCAGAGGTTGCTCTCACAGTCTAGGGTCAGGACATACCTAGATCAAATTGGGATTTACATAAGAATTTATAGATTGTTCACCAAAAGTTATAGTAATAAGATTCAAAATTGACCTTATAAACTCAACTTCTAAATCTCAACTAATTGTGCCAACATTAGTCCCCAATACATCCTTTCTCTATTAGGCTATGAGTTAAATACTCTTGAAGGTATGATTTCACAAATAAATTAATGAGCGGTAACGACCATAATGTTACGATTCATAAAATTATTTTGCAAGGACCCACACATTATTACAAGAAAACGCATTGAACACGAATATGAGCATAGCCCACTTTCAACTACAATCATAAATGTTTCATGACTCATCCTTATCTCAACGTTCAATAAATTGAAGCATTAGCTTTAGGTGGCGATTAAATGCCATTGGAATCATTGAGAAAGACGGGGAATCATCATTTTGATAATACATATAGATCATTATATTGACAAGTTTTCTCAAGTTTTCCCTATTCTTTTTTTAGTAATACGGGTAAGTTCAAATAACTATCTATTTAAAGATAATTTTTAACCATTTGATATTGAATGTTTACACCTCTGATATTATATTCTCGATGCTCAAATCCGAAACTTAAATGAGTAACATCAATTCTTATACCATCAAAGTCGTTTGATTCGCATCGATTGACTTTGTAATCAATATTTTTACCCTTGGAAAGGGACCCACATTTTTCCCCTAAATGACAAAAGGAAGAGACAAAATAAAAGCCAAAAGGCATTGATTCAAAGCTTTACAGCATAAAAGGCAAAAGCTGTGTAAGTGTATAAACTGTGATGGGTACAAATTAGATACAGCTCCAAAAAGGCTGCCCACAGCTGAAATGTACAGAGGGGAATTTAGAGTTAGAGAGGGAGCAAAGTGACCAAAAATCTCACTACTTGAGATTTTGTTTGTTTTTTTATGATAAATGACGTTTCAAACATGCGCCCCATACCCTCCGTTAAAAGCTGAACCCTAAACCCATATATCACCCAACACTGTCGCTTAGCCCAATGACAAATCATGCTGCCTTTTGCCTAAAACTTCGTGGCTCCCGTTATGCTCAAGTTGAATAATTGTACAGAGTCCAAATAAAACGGTCATCACTAGATGTATTAATACGGTTTAAGGGTTAATTTTGTTTGTCTTAGATCAAAATTATCATTTTCGTCTATATGATTCTTTCGCATTAATTTAACTCTCAAAATTACTTAAAAGTATTATTCTAGTCTTTGATGTCCGTTTTGACTAACAGAACCGTTAATCTTTTTATGTTTGTCGACGCCAATAATTTTCACGCCAATTAATATTATTGACTTTATTTGATGATGACATGACATTTATTAACAAAATAAATAATAAAATATTTAAAGTATTTACTAAATACAACTGTTAAAAAAAGATCCATAAAAATTTGACAAAATCACTTAATCTCACTAAAATAAATAATAAAGTTTTGGGATACTTTTTTTCCTAATCGTTGTGTTTAGTAAATATTTTAACTTAATCACTTAATCCACAGATGTAGAAGACTCACAATTTTATTTGTCAAAATAGTTAGTGGACTTTGAAGGCTAGGTCGATGTCCTAAACAACTTCGAGTACTAAATTGATGCAAAAAAATCATAAGGGCGAAAAATGATAAATTGAGTCTACTATAGGACAAAAATTGTCATTAGTCTATTAATATTACTGTATGATTTATCGTTTATTATCATAATTTATATATATATATATATATATATATATTGTATATCTATGTATTAATTCTTATTAGGACATTTTGTTATAGATTTGGACTGTTTTTATTATTTGAATTTATTCAATTCACACGTGAAATTGAGGTGCACATTGCATTGAAAACATTTAACAGATGGAAGAAGCGGAACTGCTTTAATTTATTCGTGGTGGCAGGTGGGCTAAGTAGCCAACTTCTGGTAATGAGAGCCGAATGTCAACCGATTTACCTAACTTACAGCTATTTCATTATTCAACGCCCAACATTTTTAACAAGTAAATAGTTAAAGTTGTACGTAGATATTACACTCAAATATCTCATAACTCGAACAAAATATGACCTTTTAACTATATTTATCTTGTCCGTTCGATTCAACACAAGTCATATTTTAATGGGTGAAGTATACAAATGTTCCTCCGACTATAGGATATTGCTCTATTAAATTCCTCAACCATTAAAAGTTACAAAATGGTCTTCTGACTATATAGTGTTGCTTTGTTGAGTCCCTCAACTATTAAGAGTTACAAAATGATCATTCAACTATTCGTTATGTTTCAAAATCGTCCTTTTCCGTTAAAGATTGACTGTCGTCTGAGCTGAACGTTAGCCTGATGACCGAGATATGATAGTCGTTTGAGATTCTAGGTTATATTTTATCATATCACATTCAACATGTTAACATTCAGCTCAGAATGCCGTCAATTTTTTAACATAAAATGATGAGTTTGGAACATAATAAAGTTGAATGTTGAATGAGGCTTAACAAAGAAATAAACTATAGTTAGAGGATCATTTTATAACTTTTAATAAGCTATAGCCGTTTGAGATTTGGATCATATATAACTATATTTTCATTATCTTATTATTTTTAAATTAAAAAAGAGTTGAATTAGACTTAAATCAAAATGTAAAAGCCTTTACAACTATGTTTCGACTTAATCCAACGCAACTATAGACACCTCTACTCCCGACACCTGACCCAAATTGAGTTACGGAATGAAATGTTATGCACCAAATTAGAACGAAAAAAACGTTAGACACCAAATTGAAAAAAAGACATACGTTGGGCACCTTTTTAACATTTAAGCCTCATTATTATATGGAAGATGTGTTTTACATGTTTAATACCCATCATGAGAATTAAAATTAAAACAGAAAAAATGATAATCAAGGTACTATAGTTTATCTTAAATAATAATAGGATAAATTATGCATTTAATACCTAAACTATCAGTTCAAGTCCGTTACCTAAGCTTTCAATTTTTTTAAAACCATATTTGAAGTTTAGTTTTTGTTTCATTTTAGTATCTCTGTTCAAAATTTAACGTTAAATTTTGAAGAAAATTAAAAATTTAGGTACTAAAACAGATAAAAAGTGATAGTTTAGTTACTATATGCGTTAAGTTTTTAACGGTGACGTTATAAAATGAAATAAAAACTAAACATTAGATATTGTATTGAAAAAATTAAAAGTTTAGATACTAAAACAAACTAAAACTATAGCTTAGGTGCTAAATGTGTAGTTTACCCACAATAATAAGATGGGAAGTAAAAAATAGTGGAGGGATAAGATTTATTTGTCAAATTCAATAAACCATCCGAGCTATAAAATGTAATTAAACCAACAAAAAAAAATGACGGGACAAAACCCTATCAACCTTCAAGTAGTTCCAATGGACAGGAATTTTACGAGTTGACATATATAATTTACACATAATTGTTCAAAATATCAGATAAAGTCATATGAATTCAGGATGTGAACTTTAGACATTGTTCTTTTTTGCGGTGAAACAATACTGCGGTGCCTGAACCATTGAGTCTGGCACTGTTGCACCAACTTCAAATGTCACGACGTGTGTAATTATTCCTGAAAATTTTCCATATTCACTCGGTCTATATCTATTATCTAAAAGTTATAAAAACGATAAGTGTTTCAAAAATAATCAAATTTGAGCATGAACTTACCAGCAGAGAAATCCCAGCGAACTGGCCTCTTAGTAGCAACGTCTTCACAGTACCAGATAAAATCCACTTTCTCCCACACGTTACAAAGGAAACCATCCTTGAGTTGAGTCCCCACATAATTAGCTCCATCGAGAAAATCAGGCCTGGGAATCCCAACTCCAAAATCAATGGCATCGCATGTTCCATTGATGCCCAGTGTGTAGTAGAAGGTGGTCTTATTGTTCCACTCCACCGCATAAATATGATCCCCGAGCTGCTGCTGCCTCTGATAGAAATTGCGGCCTTTCGGCCAGTCATACCACATGTCGGATACAAGGAGACGCCCCGACTCCTGTGTGGTGGAAAGAAGTGCATGGAATTGTTCAGGCCATGGTGTTGGTGTTGGTGTTGAGTCTGAGTCGGGCCATTCCGCTGAACAAGGCTGCATAAGTATCAGTGACCAGGTTGTGTATAAAAGGAAGTTCTTCCAACTCATTCTCACTCTTCTGTTTTCTTATGGAATTGGAATGTTCCCAAGGGATTGAAGGATGAAGAAAACGAAGGGAAATGGATAAAGGATCAGTCAAATGAGAGGTTCAAATTAAAAGATCAATTTAGAAAGTGGATTTGAATCACTATTTGATGTTTCGGCCTTTGATCAACAATGTTGGGCTTCTCTATTTTTTTTGGGTTGGACTGACAAGGTTTTCTTTTTTAGGGTACCAGCACACGACCAATCCCCTTCCCTAAAATGGTTAAATAGGTTTACAAGTAGGCAGGCAATCCCCATGGAACCCTACAGCATGCTAAAAGAGAACCCCACATAGAAACAGTGGCAACAAAGGGCATTCTCTGTATCAAATCGTAAGCTTCAGAAACCATTCCAGCTCGACCAAGGGTATCACCCATGCAAGAATAGTGAAAGACATTAGGTGATATATTTTGCTTCGTCGACCAAGCCCATATGGCTACATTGCCTCCAAGGCACGAGCATGTTTGGCGAAGCCAGAAATCATGGTGTGCCAAGAAACAACATTTTTCTTGTCCTCAAACAACTCATTTTGAACGTACCCCACCACCATACAACTCCATATAACAACACTCCTCTCTCCTGCATGCTCTTGAAAACGCAACTAGCACCCTTTATCCACAAACATGCTTGAATCTACGGCAGCGTTTGCACACACAGAAACAACACATATTGCAACAGCGGCGCAAAGAACACTTGAAATGGCGAATTCACTGAACGTGCTTCCATCCCTTAACTAGCATAGGCTTGAAAAGACCCAATGCTTCACGGGCTTCCCTGTTTAATTTGGGCGTATGGAACAATCAAGGTATTCCAAGAAACCAAGCTTCGTTCTGGCATTCCATCGAGCACCTTGCGGGGACAAGACAAAAGGCCATATTTAGAATACATGTTAATGAAAATGTTGTGTGTTCGATCCACACTCACCGCAGAATATTTTTCATGTAGCTCTCTTGAATTAAACAATGGCCATGCTTGTGTAAACCATTTGTTTTCTTTCTTTCTCTTTTTAATTCTTTTACATGTTTCTTTATTTGTGTCATATTATATATGATATATGAAGATGTAATAGAAAAAAAAATCAATGTTTCTTCTAAAAATTAACTATAAAAAGTTACTCTCATAACAACAATAAGGAAATATAAAAATATTAGTATAAAATGTTATAAAACGATTATAATAAATTATCAATGTGAATTTCTATAATTAGTACATGTATAATGTATAAGTTATAAATTTAATACTTATATAGTGTATAAAGTATAATAAATTATTTTTTAAATTTTTAATTAAAAAATAATAAACATATTATTAAGAACAATAATAAAGAATTCTTGGATTCTTGGCGAAAAGGAACCTGTTGGTGAAGGGGATTCTGTATGATATACACAAAAATAAGGAAATTTTAAAATTTTAAGAATTATAAAATTGATGGATTAGAAGGTAAAAAAAAAGGGTAGACTGTTAAATAGGGGGAGATGCATGTTTGTTTTGCAAGCAACAAGTTGTGACGCCAGACAGAATAGTGTTTATTCTGTAGGCTAGCTCCGACAGACGATTCACAAGAGAAAATTAGCCCAAAAATCAGAGAAAAAAAGTCTCTAGGGTTTAATAAAATATTATAAAATCAAAAACCATGCAAAAAGCAGTCCACAAGCCGGACTGTTATAGCAAAAAAACCGTCTTTATTCGAATTTTGCCAAAAATAGAAAAATCCTGAAAATCACTCTAAATTGAAATTCGAAATAAAATAAGCAATCTCCCAAAAATCCGGCCTAAATCGGATTTAAATTGACTTCCTAATTGATAATCGAAATATTACCATAAATAGTAAAAAATATCTAAATCTAGTGATTCGGAGGGGAAAACGACAGAATTTGAGGTTGAAAAAAAGACCACATGGAGTTTAGCTCAATGTGGAGAGCGTGGCGTCGAAAAGAGCTTTCCGGATTGGGGTCTTATGCGCGATTCTGACACCTGTAGCCAAAGTTATGGCCAAAAGACTGAAACATACTCAAAACGACCCCAATGAGGAACATGTCACAATCAATTCCCGCCTTTGCGCTGATCTGCCAACTCATGGTATCTCAGCGCCATCAACGTGCAATCTGACAGCTCAGCATCATCTATCTCGGATCCCCGCATCAAGTTGTTTGTTTTCTTCTGTGTGAATTGTAATGGATGGAGATGATTACTTCAACTAATTTTTTTTGCCCTTTTCATCCTCAAGGTTTTGTTTTAACTAATTGGAACCGATTTAGATAGTACACCTGATTTTGGTAAGTGTGTCTCGCACAAAAAAATTTCGACATACATAAGAACTCGAAACTTGTTTAAATGATGTAAAGGTACTAACCACTTGAACTAATCGTATTTATTTTTACTATATGGTTTACCGACCAAATAAAAAAATTGAGCTTCCTTTTTAGCGTAAATTTCCAATTGCCAAATAGCGAAAACCTATCCCATAGTTGGTTCATGTATATTCCAAAGGCAACTCAAGTCTCCTTGTTTTTTTTTTTTTTTTGTTGATAAAATGTATATTTAATTCAAAGAACAGTCCAACACCCTAAACAAACTATACAGACCATTGACTACCATCTCCTAATAAGCTTTATCTGAACAAAATCATTAATACAATCAATAATCCTCTCCTCATTCCTATGTAACTTCCTAAAATTCCTTTTATTTCTTTCCTCCCAAAGGAAATATACAAAAGCATTCCAAGAGATCTTAAACAAGAAAGTTGAAAGAGACCTACCCCTCCAACGGGATAAAATCCATTGAATTCCCTCCTCCCAACAAACGCTAGCACGATGAACCCCATTCCAAGCTAGAACTGCCCTCCAAATCTTAGTTGAAAAGGAGCGATCAAAAAACAAGTGGTCTCTAGTTTCTCCTTCCTCCCCACATAGCACACATTTATCCTCAAGAACTAACCCCATTCGGCACAGCCTGCCTTTAGTGGGCAGCCTATCCTGCAAACAAACTAGGAAACAATGGAATGCCGAGGCATATGCAATGGGAACCAAACCAACTTCTGCCAAGGAACTTTATCATTCTTCACCCTTATCTCATTCCAAATCCACCTCGTCCGAATAGTCTCCGAACATCTATTTTGAAATAAAGGTCCTGCCACCTCCCTAAGAGAAAGAATCTTCTTCAAACTCTAACTCACCCCAGTGTTCGGATCAAAACATCAAAAATCTCTTCCCCTAAGAACATAAGTTCTCACCCAAGACAAATCTCCTTATTATATAATGTTTTATCTATTCAAAGTTGAAACTCGATTCACACGCATGACATACGTTGCAGCAAAAACCCTAACTTGCCATACTTGTAAAAGCTAAGTTTCTAAGAAAATTACCAATATGCATAACAAGTAACTTGTTTAGGTACCAACGGGTTGATTCAAATAGTAAGAAATTTGATATAGTTTAATAATGTCTCGAGTTTGAGTCTTTATGTCTGTATGAAATCTTCACCAGAAGAATCGCTTATTAAAAAATCAGGTGTGTAACCAGAGTTGGTCTGGATTAATTAAGGAAGCCCTAAAATTTAAAAGGATTATTGACATGATTTATATTAGAATATCTTTTTGCATGAAACCCAGCAGTCTCGGCAATCTTTATCTCCACCACAACAAATAAGCTTAAACAGTAAACCAAGTCCCTACATTTTATTTGATGTCTTTGTCTCTAACCTACATAGGGTAACATAATTCATAATCCTGAAACACCCCATTGGATTGAAAGACAGAAGTTGAATCCCAAGAGTTGGGAGATGCTGATTTTGCATCAAACTGATCACTCGGCCACCAAATCAAGCTGTCCTTTGCACCATTCATGTCCCTGAAACAATCCAGAACTTGATCAGCCATTTGGGGATAACCGGACGTCTTATCGTTGAGAAACTCGTCCAGCTGGCCCTGGTAGCTCGAGACAGGTTGAGCATCGCCATCCTTTCCATTTCCAGTTCCAAAGGGAACTGAGCCATCTGATGGAGATATTCCATCCAAAGAATTATCAACTACCTCAAGTCCCTTGGCTTCGAAATTTCTGGGATAATCTTGCTGTGCAGGTTGAGGGTTTGGCAAGAGAGGTTGCATGATGAGAAGGTTAGGGTTTCCAGTGGAGGCAGCCTGCTGCATGCTTTGGATCATCTTGTCCTGCAAGGGCTGAATCTTCTTTGGCCATAAACCCGGATTGTTATAGAAAGAGAAAGGATTCTGAAGATCACTTTGAAGCTGCAGATGAAGCTGGAGTCGTTCCAAGGCCGAGTTACTCAAACCCATAGAGAATTGATTATCATCCGAGGCTGAGCCACTGGAGTACTGATGATGATCATTAGGGCCTTGATTTGAGGACGATGACCTATGGATGTTGTTGTTATAATGCTTGTGCCTCCCAAGTAGTTTCTTCTTTAATTTGGTGTTCCAGTAGTTTTTGATATCATTATCAGTTCTCCCAGGCAGTTGTGCTGCAATAATGGACCACCTAAAAAGGTAGATCCAACTCAGTCAAGATTATCCTCAACAAGAAAAATACGAAGCATGGAAGAACAAGGAGAGAATATCATAAGCCCTAAGAGATCTGAGAGACTGACTGTAAAAGATGCAGCTTTTTCATATAATTATTTGTGAAGGGTATCTATCTAATCCATGGAGGACAAAGAATAAGAAGACAAGCAATGAAAGCCTAAAAGTTAGAGAGAAAAAGAAAGAGGGATTGTTTTACCTGCTTCCAATACTTATATAGAGACTGCAGATGATTCTGTCTTCTTCTTCAGAGAATCCACCATGCTTGATATTTGGCCTCAAATAATTCAGCCATCTCAGCCTGCAACTCTTCCCACATCTCTTAAGGCCTATGAAATATATTACCAACAGACAAACAAGGTCAAGCTAAACCAAAATCTCATAACAACATGCTAATAAGCTCCCACCATATATATATTTCATTCAAAAGGAAGTTTTATGTTAGGGTAAACTAGGGTTACAAGTATGTACCGATTTTCTGAGGAAGAGCAATCCAATTGCCTCCAGTACCATACCGTTCGATATAAGCCTTGAGCTTAGCATCTTCTTCAGGTGACCATGGTCCTTTCTTCACGTTGGCTTTGTCACAGCAAGGTGCTCGACCCATGTTGTCTGAATTCTTTCTTCAAAACAAAGGAAAAAAGCTGGTTAGAAATGGAGAAAGGAAAGAGCAAGATTTATAGGTACTAAATTGTGAGTGACGTGAGTCATTTTGTTCCCCATAAAAATGCTCAAGTGTTTTTCAAAGACCTGACGATTACAAGTTGGCTAGCTAGGGTTGCTGTGTAAATGAATTGAAAATTGTAAAAGGAAGGCAATACTTTATCTAAAACAAGGAAATGACAAAGGATTGAGTATTCAAAACCTTTTTAATTAGAGGTAGTACCACTCATTGACCTTCATTTCATTTCTATAATATTTTCCTTTTTGATTTTAGGTCTCTAAATAATAGTTTATTAATCATATGTCTTAAAAAATAGATCGCAAACATACATATTTCTCCAATAATAACATGCTTATCGTGATTATGAATGTAACAATTGATTTTCGATACAAGTGATTGGGATGAAGATGTTTTATCATAGTTATAAAAATAATATTTGATTGATATTACTAATTTATGATAAATTGTGAATAATAAGTATCCTATAAATGGAGTCAATATCTTTTAGAGATTTAAAAAGAAGAAGAAAAACATGTTTGTGCTTGTCTTTCTCTTAACCCTAGAATCTATGCATTGACATATATACACTTCCATTTCATCATCAATAAGACCAAAGCTCAAGACTTATTGAGTGAGAGCCGGTAAAGGGTGGGGATCAGGATCAGTCCTTTGATAACAAGATAAGCTTAGATACTTGTTGTGCGTACTATATGTTAATAAGGTGGGATTATTGATGCTATTTGCAAACTAATTTGACTGGTTAAATTAACTTCAAGGTGGATATCTGTTAATTCTTTTTCTAATCAAAGTACAAGAGATACATGTAAATCAACTAACCCCCATTGAGGTTTTAGTTTGAACCAACCAGTAAGCTCATAAACATGTACACAAACAGGGACAGATACAATATTTTAAATTAGAGGGCGAACCTGAACTTATAAAACTTTAGGGGGATAAAAACAGATTTTCAATAAAAAAATACATAAAAAATTTTTAAAATAATAGTAATTTTAGATATTTAGGGGCAATCGCCCCCACCCGCTCTCCCTATGTCCATCCACAACAATGTAATCTTTGTAGGTTCAAGACTTTGGGGTCTGCAATCTGTGTTAAAAAAAGGGATTTGTAGCCAGTTGCTGCCTGGATGTGTTGGCAAAAGGTGTTCCAGGAATTGCTTTTTTTTGAGGAACATGCATAGTAAATTCGTTCAGTTCCTCCATTTCTGTAGAATAATAAGTTTAGACGCCATATCCCCATAGAAAGGACTAACGCAAGTTAATGTACTTTCCTTAGGCCTTCTTCTAGGGATTGGGTCTTCTAGTTCACCTTTTTGACCACTTCTTTTAGCTCCAGGGCTCAATCACCTAAATATTTTAACATATTAAATATCAGTCGATATTGTTTGGTTTAAGCTCTCTTGCTTGTAGTTTTTTAAATTAATACATTTAGTTTTTGTGCGCGCAATAGGGTGAATATTAGGCGTGAAAGTAAGGACAATAACTACGTTCAAACACTAGTCTAGCTTGATGAGTATTATTCATCTCCAAAACCGCCACCTGTCAGATTCCTTCAAGAGATATTAATGAAGATAAGATTGGATTTAATTGCCAAGATAGAACCCAGAAATTAACATGCAGTTACTCTAATAGTTGATGGATTAAATATTATTTTTTTATGAAAAGTATATGTTATAAATTCCGATACACTCAGTCATTTTAGAGGAGTCGTGTCTTAAATTTATCAGTGAAATTTAATAACAAAAAGTCTTCTCCGCGTATTAGGTGCATGAGTCATATTCTCATATAGCAACGAATATAAGTGTTATATATTAATATGAATTTTAATATATTGTTATACTCATAAAACAGACAAAATATTAACATTTAACGATGGATGATTTGATAGAGTTAGATATTCTTCGATGATGATTTATGATACTGTTCTTGAAATTATACAAATTCTTCTTGAGAGAAATTTTGTTAGCATCGTATAATAGAGTGACACCCACTTAGACTTATATTTCATTAAGAAAAGTAAATGGTGTCACGGTATTTGATTCCATGGGAGTTTCGGTTGGGTAGCCAACGGGGAGTTGGTCGTGCCATGGCCACGCTAATTCCTACTTAATTCATTCACTTCATTTATTTAATCACTATATAAAAAATGGTAATATATACATTTAATACCTAAACTATCAGTTTTGATCTATTTTAATACCCAAACTTCTAACTTTTTCAAAACCATACATACCGTTTAGTTTTCATTTCATTTTAGTATCAAGCCGTTTAAAACTTAACGCGTTTAGTACCTAAACTATCATTTTTTGTAAGTTTTAATACCTAAACTTTCAAAAGAAAAATTCAAAATTTAACATTAAATTTTGAACGAGGTACTAAAATGAAACAAAAACTAAAGTTTTTATCGACGGGTACTAAACTAAAACAAAAACTAAACTTTAGACATGATTTTAAAAAAATCAAAAGTTTAGGTACTGATAGTTTAGATACTAAATGCGTAATTTACCCAAAATATATCAGAAAACCCTTCAATGCCACTTCAACTTCACGCATATTATAATCAAAACAAGTTATAGCAGAAGAATAAAGTCAACCAGATGTTTGATTAGTGTATCAAAATAATCTTTGTCAGTGAAAGTGGGACATTCAGAGCACAGAGATACCAAACAAACATGGTGATGGTATTGTTTTAATTAATTTTTGATAGTAAAGCAGGTCGACACCCTTCTCTCACAACAAATAAGTCAAAAGCATACATTACCTTTTTTTTAAAAAAAAAAAAAACAATGTCCATTTGCCATCAATTATAAAATGTTTATTCCTCGGCGAAGCCTATAGGTTCGCTTCCATTGTTACGCTAACTTCACAGTGCAAACATTTTGATATTCTTATAGAATAGTGTTCAAAGAGACTAGTGGTATGTACACTTATGTACTCAATGTACAGTAATGAACTCCTGGTATGTACTATGCATTATTAATTACTATAAACTTACATACAGATGGTGAGTCCCACCTCAAATGACAGGTTTATTCACCCAAATATCAACAATCCTGAGAAAGGGAGAGTCGAGACCTGTTAGGAACCATTTTTTGGTGAAAGATGGAAGACTAAATTGTAGTTAGTAAAACTAACCTCCCCATTGAATTTCATGGCACTTGTTTGTGTATTATGCAGTCTCCTTGAGTATACTAATTCAGCCACATATGTATATCTTGGTACTCTTGAAATAACTTGCGGCAGTACCATACGAGACTCGTTATTGAAGAACCAAGGCAAGGTAGTGTGTATTATTAGCCTAATAGATAGATGACCTTTAACCTCTCTTTAATTTTTCCCAGCATGATAGTGAGGAAAATGAAATCCTTGCTTCAGAATTGAATTTATTCTATTTCATCGCGGCAGCCATGTTTCTCAGCTCTGAAAAGGAAGGTCTCTCTGCAGGATCATAGGCCCAACATTTTTCCATCAAAGCCTTCCATTCAGGATCACACCATGATGGTATTTTTGGACGTAATGTGTTGTTTACGATTCCCCCTGCATGTTAAAAGAAGAAACTGTTGGTAGAGATGACGGTAAAATATCCATTAACGGGCCAAACTCACATCTGACTATATAATCAGAATGAATCCAAAAACATGCATATTAGTAGAATAGAAATGCTTCACTCAGAAGAGATCTGAAGATACAAATCCAGTTATCGGAACCGGTCTTTTAGTATGTTAAAGAAATTGCACAAATTTGTTTTCCCTCGAACATTGGGTGACAAATCCCCAAATTACAGCTATCAAATGAAGATTGACAAATGAAGTTGAACACTGAATAAAAAGAAAATCCAGATAACCTTCTTAAAATTTATATAAGAAATAGTCCCAGCTAAAGTGATAGGACAAAGTCATGAGTATCAGGCATAGACCCAGATCTGATGAAGGGATGCTTGATCTTCGGTAGGTCCTTATAGCCAAATGCATAGGCTGACGGACATGTACAAAATTTTGTCAATGTAAAGAGTTGAGGAAGCAAAGATTTTGAGCAGAACGCATGGAAGACGTGCAGCGAGATACTATACAACAAGACACTTACCGATTATAGAAGCACAATGAATATCTGCATAACGATCCCAAAAGAGTAGACATCAATTTGGAGTGCAGTAATTAATGAAACATGAATAAAATCAGTATCTGGCCAAATAAAAAATATAATAAACAAAGAATTCATGTTGCAAACAACTGTATCTGTGCACTGATGCTACTACCTTTTCAGATACCATGTCACTTTTACCACTCAAAAGCTCAGGTGCCATCCACGGTAGAGTTCCATGAACACCTCCTGAAACTAATGAATGTTGTCTGACCTTTGATAAGCCCAAATCACCAATCTAAAAGGCCCCGTGCATTGCATGAGTTCCAGTTCCGTCAACCATCAGAAAAAACTAATAGTAACTGAAGAATATGGTAAGAGGTCACATGCTATAGAAACAATCTCAAGCTGAAACAATTACCAAGCTTCAACCGTTAAATTAATCACCACAAGTATACAGTAACATCTAGAATTTTCAAGAAATATGGAAGAACAATATTTACTGAACACAACCAGCCCCAGCCCCAGCCCCTCCTACACCTATGGCCTTAAAGTTTGAGTTCAGGAAACAATATCTAAAACAGTATACCTTGCAAACTGGACGTTGTGGATCTCGCATGTTTACCAACAAATTTGCACGTTTCAAATCAAAATGTACAATGTTCTTCGCATGCAAATACTCCATGCCAAATGCAACGTCCATGGCTATGATAAGTCTCTTACGACGATCAATAGTCCTGCTAAATAAAATTATTTTATCACAAAGATTACTTAAGAATTAAGATGGTGCATGAAAAGGAAAACGGAACTTCTAAAACAAACTACAGTGAGGATGCCCAAAACACAACCTGACCGCAGAGTTATTAACATGGTTATCTGTCCTTCTGTAAGAACTGCTTCAAGGATCCATTAACCATGAATTCTGAAACAGTAGCTAAGGATCCATCAGGACTATCACGAACTACACCATGGAAGGAAACAACATTTGGATGATGTAATGAACTCAATATCAAAGCTTCCTTCCAGAAATCTGCAATCTATGGAGGCAGAGAAATAAAAATTGCAATCAACAATATATGAGAACTGACATGCATAGAAGTATCATATATCATGAGAGCTCTGGGAAAAAAGAATCCTTGGGAGCGAGTTAACAAATCCAAAAAATTGAACTATATCGCACAAAATATCCTTTTGCTTTAACTGCCACCATACACAGGCATCAACTAGATGAGGATTAAACAGAAAGATTACATCTGAAGAAACATACAACTAAATACGAAAAGCAAATTGTAAAAAGTTGGTCTTCTAGAAACATATGGTAGGTTAATCATAATAAGGGCAACAAGGAAGTATCATTAAAGTGATAACAAAACCTTTCCACCTGGACTCTGCCAAAGAGGGAAGAAAGAAGAGTGAACAATAGGCAAAGAAATCACAAGTTGAATTGCTTCCATTTAATTGAAAATTTTATAAGAATTTTACATTTATTTTCCCTATTGGTAGTGATCAAGACTTCATAAGAGATTACAAGCATTGTGTATGCGGAGAAAAGAAAATAATTGGGCTTGACAATTATTTTTTGGTAATAAAGCACCAACAGTTTTTGTCCGATACGTGAAACCACATAGTAGTTCATTCTTCAAGTTATATAAGCACTTATTTTTAGTCTTTGTGCAATAATTTAGAGGAAAAGCTGTAAAAACCATTAACTTTGCTCCTCCCCCCTTTAGCTTCTAACCAATTCAGTTTTTTTTTTTAATTCATGGTGGAATATCAACTTAAAAACTTAGCTACACAGCTAAACAAATGTGCCATAGCATCTGTGACAAATGAGACATATCAGGTTAATCATTTGTTCAACCTTTTAATCATCAAGCAGCCTTGTATAAAAAGGATAAGCTACAAAAGATTCACAAAGAAAAGTGCTAATACTTATTACCATTCGTTCTCTTTGCGAAGGCCTTCCTGCAAAGCAGCTAGCTTTAATTCTCTTGATTGCTACAACAGAACCTTTCCATTTGCCCTGATAAACTGTCCCCCGTGTTCCAGAGCCCAATTATAAGATCTCCTCGAGATCATCGTTTTTAATTGCTGAAGGTAAAATGCAAATACCATCAGAAATAAAATAGTATCAGATGTGTAAAATAGGTAAAACATCGGGTTAAATATTGAGTTCGTCCCTATACTAGTATACAATATCTGTTACTTTGGTACCTAGAGAATTGGAATTTGCAATTAAGCATCTGAACTTTTCATTTTGTAAACTTTTTGGGGCTTTAAGACTAACCCATTAGTATACCATTGTTTGATTGGACTTTCTGGCCACGTAAACTACTTAAATAATGATGTTGATCCTAAGAGACAAGTACTTAGAAAATGAAAGTTAAAAGTAACTAGTTTTTTATATGCAAATTCTAAATTTTTAGATGAATATTAATCCTAAAAAGATTGACGATCTCAAGAAATAATCCTGAGATATAAATTAAAGTTAAATGAGGAGAAGGTAGAAGAAAACAATGACCTGTAACCCTCTTGCAAAAGCTTCTTCCTCAGCCTTTGATGGTTCAATTTTGGCCAGGGCTTCGTTGTCATTATCAGAATCCAATTCCATCTCGCCATGGGCATTCTAGAGAGAAAATGTATATTAGAAAGAGAAAAATATAACATTGCATGAATGTTATCTAATATAGAAAAAACATTGCATGATGTTCTCTAATATAGAAAATTTTCTTTAATCTCACCAGTGATTCTGATTCATCCGCAGCTGCTTCTTTGTCAATTGCATCACACTTAAGGGGAGTAAAATCTTCGCATTTGGCTTTCACTTCTTTAACCTCCTCCAAAGCTACTTTTGTAACTGAAGCTACGAAGTCCGGTATGAAACTCAGACAGCTTACAGACAACTCTGAGTTTTCAGCAGCGGTAGTATCTTTTTCACCAGGTTTTGCCTGGCTGCCACCCTTTTCAGCCAGCTTTAAACAATTTGAAACGTTAACCTCATTAGATGCTACTTTAGATTCATATTCAGGAACTTTGGTTTGCTCAGGAAAGTACACACTTGGAACATCAGACTTTTCCATCTTCATCACATGGTTTGCTTCATCTTCCAAGGGAACAATTTTATCCTCAATCCCCAATGCCCCAATTACACTACAATCAACTCGTGATTCCTGATTGCCGCTGGAAACAGATGTATCATGGATTAAAGTTGAAGGTTGATCTGGCAACTGAACAGGTTCTGTGGAAGTGGCAAATTTTAGCATGTCTCGAGGGGCTTGAACTGGTTCCGTAGTTACAGCATCTTGAGTTTCCTGACAATGAGGACCAACGTCCATCTTGAGAGGATGGGCATAAGCAATGTCTCGAACAGCATTCCCATCAGAACTCAGCATCTTTTGTGGAGACTCAACCCAAGTACTTTGACTATCTGTTTCAACACGAGGCTTTGTGCTAGCTTCTGCTGGATCTTTAAAAAACGCAGTGTTAACTGCAGAATTTACTTGCTGAGGTAAGCTACATGCTTCATAAGCTGGAGCACCATGAGTTTGATTCTGAACATTTCTCAACAAAGAATGCGTATGGACATGTAATGCTTGGTAAACGTTGTCTCCTCCATATGGGTAAGGATAATTCCCATAACGGGCCGCTCCATGTTCTTCACGAGGAATGGTCATGTGGGGCGAAGCAACCACGGCTTGATCATGAAATATTTCATTCCCCAACTCAGATCCAGCTCGCTGATTAACATTATTTGAGAGCATGTGATGGCCATCAGATAAATTAGCATGCTCAAGAGGTAAATTCATGCCAGTACCATCTACAACATTGTGGTCATTCAATCTTCCAGTTCCATGAACATGATTTCTTACTTCCTCAACACATGGGTTCAATTGATGTTGCAAACCCCATCCTTTTTCATGACCATGTGTTTCACCATGACCAGAAGAGGGATCAACTTGGTCTTTGGAATAAAATCCAAGATGCAATTTTCCATCTGCATTCATCATGAATGCTTCTCGGTTCGAGGGGCATTCAGCACGTAGACTATTTATCTGAGGAACAGCCTTTCCATTGTTGGGATGCTCCAAATGTGGTGACTGATTTCTGCAAAAAGTGACCCTGCCATACTCCCAGAGGTGGTTCCCCTCATACACAGCATGACCATGAAGGATGTTACCAGGAAAACCACAAGCCTTATCTCCAGACATAGCTCCTGTAGGCATCCATACTACACTATCCGAAAAATGTGGCTGGTGCTCATATTGGGGATGACGATTTAATCGCTGCCTTACATATTCTTCTTGCATTCTATCCATGCATTTGTCTTGAAATTCAGGAAAAAGTACCCTGTAACGAGAAGATAGTGAAGGTGATAGTGTTCTGGGAGTATGGTGTCCATGGTGACTAGGAGAATAGCACACAGGACTCCATGGACCTTCCACTTCATTGTGTCTCTGAGGAACTTGTTGCTGGAACTGCCCAGAACCCAATTGAGGAATAGTAGGACTAAGCAAGTTATATACTGGTATGGGTATTTCACCACTCCTCTGGATATGAAGTCCACCATCAATACTCATACTGTTAAGGTATTGTTCTGCTTAATGAATATCCTCAGAAACTGGAGACATCACAGGTGAGTCACATTTCCTAAAATCGGAACCCTCATTTAAACTTTTCAAAGCATCCACAAACATCCTCTCAGTCACCCTCTCATTCCCATCAATGAATTGTGATAAACCATCTTGGTCAGGATGCGAAAACAAAAAATCCTAAGCCTAGTGAACCCATCACTTGAACCCAACTTCTCATACTCTTCCATCATGTTCGTCACATCATCATCATTCACAACTGACACTAAAGCATCAAGATACTCTTCTGGCTGCTGATATTTCAAAACTGCTGCTCCATCATAAAGCTCCCTCATCTTAGTCATCAACTCCTCATACCTAATATCTCTAGGCACACTCACAATTCGAGTTTCTCCACCAACATACCTCAATTTCCCATCATGGGGACCAGGCAAAATGCTACCTCAGAAGCTACACAAGAATTTGTCACGAGGGGTTGCATCATTGGAACCAGCGGTGTAGGAAGGCAAGGCAGATTCTGGGGATAATGAAGGGGAATCCATCAAATACACAGCTTGACGATTTGCTGCTCTTGATGATCACTTATTCTTTTATTACACATGTAAGGTTTTCGCCACACCATGTATTTCAACAATACGGAAAACTCTACCCAATACGGAAACAGTTATACAAGTTCCATACTTTTAACACCATGAACAGATTGGTTCTCCATCTGGTAACTCAAAAAGAGTACCAGAAATCATCAAATCTATTAAATTTCTCAAATACCACGAAAGAAACACAAAATAAAGAAGAGAAAATGGAAACCTAAATTGAATCCAACGAATCAAAACCTACAACTAACCTAAATTCGTCGATAACAGCTGAAATAAAACCCAGAAAAGCTTCCGAATATAACAGTTTCTAGATTCAATATAAAATCCAAATCAGTTTTGATAATTCACATTAGTTTAAGTTGCGAATAACTTAAATCCTTAAGCTTAAAAAGGAAAAAAATGTACCTGAGAATGGGGATTATTAAAAGAGGGTTTTCTTTTCTTCTCTCTCTCTCTCTCTCTCTTTCTCTGCTTGACTAGGAAAGGGTATATTTTGATGAAATGAAGAATGGAGGTAATATGAATATGTGATTGATGTAAAGAAAAAGAGAGAAACAAAAAAGAAAAGAAGAAAAACAATCTTAAGTGTGAGGGTGGAGGTGGAGGTGGAGGTGGAGGTGGAGGTGGAGGTGGAGGAGGACGATGAAGAAGAAGAGGAGCGCCAGGCAGTTGGAAAAAATAAAAAATAATAAAACAGAAAGTGGGGACATCTTTGGAAACATGCCAAGGTAGCGTCCCACGTGGCACAATCTATCTCTCCTTCCTTTCTTTCCCTCTATTCTTTATTTCCCTTAATTATTTTAGGATAAACTACCATATTGGTCACCAATCTATTATCATGTCTCTACTTTGGTCCCCTAATTATTTTTTGGTCACCATATTTCATGTATTATCAGCAGCCAACTTGTTCAGGTTGAATTGCTTTATGAAATATGTAAAACAAGGCCACCTTTTGGAATATGTTTTTATCAATCTATCACATACAAAGTAATGAAAATTCTCAAATATCAAAATAAAGATAATAAAATAATCAAAGAATAATGAATATTGATAATCTGGTATAATTATCCCTAAGTGGCTGGCTCATAAGTCTTTCAAGACATGTTGCACTCTGGCGGTAGACCTTGAGGGAACCTCTTGGCATCAGTGCAGTAGTTATAGATCATATAGTTCTTCTGCACCCATTGCAGCCTTTGTTGATTCGTTGAATCCATCTCTTGAGAGAACCATGCGTTGTTGGATGATGATGAATTTGATTTGCAGGAAGTAGCTCCATTGGACCACACACAAGCATCGGCATTGAAGTTCCTGTAAGAGGCGGTGAAAGGAGCTTGGGTCCAATCGGTCTTGACCAGACCACCCCTTGTGGCCCAGTCATCAGCGTTCCACAGGCTGGAGTAAATTCTCATGGGCTGGTTCTTGGGGAACGGGACACCAAGCGATTCCATGTTTTTGAACTCTCTGATGGGTGTACCATCCACAGAGAAGATGATGCGTTGGGGATTCCAGAGGATGGAATAAGTATGGAAATCGGCAGTTGGATCAAACCAGAGGTAGAACTGTTGTTCTCTGTTGCCCTTTCCTTGACTGAACACATTGGTGTGAAGAATGTAAGGGTCGCCACTCAGATTCCCAAGGAACTCGAAATCAATTTCATCCCATGTCGATCCTTTCGAAGATAGCTGCACATACAAATAGTGAAATATAAGTAAGTACCACCATGACCACCGTATTATAAACAACTGTTACCTATTATGTAAAAAAGAGAGTGGAGAAAGAAGAAATGAATGGATAATAACTTACATAATATGCAGTGACTGTGCCAGCAGAGTTGCCGGGAACAAGCTTGAGTTGCATATCAATCTTGCCAAAAAGATACTCATTCTTGGACTGGAAACCAGAGCCAGAAGCTTTATCGAGAGAAAGAGTGAGAACCTCTCCATTGTTGATGATGTTACCACGGCCATCTCCCCATGTGATGTCGAAATCGTTGTGGAGGTTGCCGGCGTTTGCCGCCATGAGACAGCCGAGAAAAAGGGGCATAAACAAGTTAAACTTGAGACCTGAAGAACTCATTTTGTTTACTGGTTTTTTTGCACAGGTAGCAGAGAGAAACGAGAGAATATGCTGGGAAATGAGAAGTTAGCAGGTTGAAAAATGTGGAGTGATGGTGAGGGGAATGGTAGAGCTTGGCATTTATATAGTAAAGAAAAAGGAATGGGAAGAGGCGAAGAGCCAAGGAAGCTCCCTTGAGCTTGGTTGTAGACGGTTGTTTAAGCGTTGTATACAAAAATAGCTGTAAATATGGCCCGCAGAAACAAGGTTCGTGATATAACGCGGCTTTATTAATTATTAGAAAGTAAAATTTGTTGTGCTAATTGCTGCTCAGTTCCTTTCACCGGGCTAGCTAACCAATACGACAACGCCGCCTCCAAGTAACCAAATATACCCACTCAAAGGTCCCCTTTGTCGATGAAAATGATTTGTGATTAAATGTTGATAACTATTTAAATGGTCATCAAAGTTTTACGGCGTTAAAATTCTGGTTAATTTTTTAAAATTTAATCTTTTAGTTAATTAATGATACTTAATGATCTGTTCATTCAACTTTTAGTGATTAATGTTTGGATCATCTGAACAATTTTACTTTGATATTTTAGCTAATAAATTATTAGTTTTATTTAAAACACACATATTCAGGTGAACAATATTTGTTTCTATGTAGGGATGGATCGAAGAAAGTATTGGAGGGTGTGTTTGCACTCCTTGAAAACTTTAAATCCTTATATAGTTTATATATTTTCTAATGAAGATATAATTTTAAACTCTTTAAATTTCTAATATAACTTCGTAGATCTATTCTTATAATATAAAATTATGTGTTATCATTGACTCTATAAATATAAAATTTATTAAAAACAATTATTAGCATAACAATTATATTATAAAGATTTATAACATTTAAGTACCTAAAGTATTTATTTGTCAAAATAAGTATTTAAATTTATCTTTTTGGTCAAAATAGATACTTAAAGTATTCAATTTTTTTAATTTAAGTACTTAAAGTATTTTTTAATTAATATAGCATGTCAATTTTTTAAAACTTATATGAAATTTTTTTTTGAATACTTTAGGTACATGTTTTGACCAAAAATACTTTATGTACTTATTTTGACTAAAAAAGATAAGTTTAAGTACTTTTCTTGAGTAAAAAATACTTTAGATACTTAAATGAAAAAAAAATATTTTAGATATTTATTTAAAATATAAACCTATTATAAAATAATATAATTTGACATTTAATTTTTTTTGTTAAATTAGACATTTAACTTTGGCAAAACCCAATCAATACAATAAAATATATATTTTCCCAGCATGTTCATTACTTATTTTTAGCCTAGCTTGGGTAGATAATATCTCGGGAAGATATACTGAGGTCAAAATTTTCACAGTTGGTTGTCAAATGATAAGTAACGCGAACTTCGATTATCGTAATGCGAATATGTAAATCGTAATGCGAACTTGGACTCGTAACGACTGGTTGTATTGCATTTGTTTCTTAAGAATTTTCTTTAAAAAGATAGTATTCGCGCGGACGTGTCGAAGACACGTATTACCACGACCACGACCACGACCACGAGACGAGACGGACGGCGGCGGCGCGCGAGAGTCCCCTTGTTCTCTATCACTCAACAAGGAAGTGAGAAAACCAAGCCTTAAATACCATTCTCAATAGTGTTTCAAATACTATGTGGGATTGAGCATTACCAACACTTGTTTCCAATACAATGTGATTATTCAGGAAACAATTAACAATCATGCACCTTAAAACAACTGAATTAGCAACCAATTGCATTAGTATTATACGATTAAATATGTCATAATTAAATGTCGACTATCGCATTGCGATTTACATATTCGCATTGCGATAGCCGACTATCGCAACGAATTTGAAATAAATCGCAACGCGAACTTCGACTATCGCAACGCGAACTTGGACTATCGCAATGCGAATATGTAAATCGCAATGTGATAGTCAAAGTTCGCGTTGCGAATCTGGAAACTGATTTGCGATACCGGAGATCGCGTTGCGAATTATCGATCGCATTGCGATTTAGTTGGTCATTTTGGCAAATCCAAAAAAAAGTTGGTTAAAATCGTATATTATAAGGCATTTTTTGTCACTGAGATTATTTTCTCTATTATTAACTATGATCATCATTAATTCGGTTTATAAAAATTTAAATTTTTAAAGAGCTTAACGTATAATTATAAATTAGTTGAAAATTTTAAAAAAAAAATATTTAAAATAAAAGATAAACTATACAAATGATCACCTAACTATTACTCCTTTTTGTTTTGACCATTATTTTTGAAATTTTTTTAATCATGTCACTTAACTATTTAAATGCATTCAATTAAACCATTTGGTGTTAATATTTAAAGAAAAAACTGATGTGGCAGTTAAAATATTTAATATAATTACACATTTTGTCGATGTTACTTATATATTTTATCAATTTGATCTTAATTTTAATAAATTATAATAAACTTAGCCCTCAAATCAAATGATGCCAACGTAGTATTAATTCATCTTATTCTTCTAATTTGTAAAAACAAACAAGAAAGAAAAGAAAAATTAAGAAAAAATATTTCATTTTCGAGAAATAAAAAAAATTAAATCATTAACCTCAATTTCATTTCCCTTTACCATGTCTCGTGTTGTTGTCGTCCTTATCATCTCTTTCACCATCGCCATTTTTTATTCTCTCTCTTGTTAGTTATTGTTGTCGTCGCCCTTATCATCAGCCACTCAGGCGATGTGGATTTGGGTATTTATGCTTTAGGAATTTTAATAGATTTAAGTGAAGTTTGTTGGGGTAATGGCTGCTCAGTTCCTGTGTCCAGGTTAGCTAAACCCATACGACAACACCGTTTCCAAGCAACCAAATATATCCACTCAAATGTCCCCTTCGTCGATGAAAATTATCTGTACTAAATGTAGATAACTACTTAAATGGTCATCCAAAATTTACGGCGTTAAAAGTTTAGTTAATTTTTTAAAATTTAATCGTTTAGTTTTTAAAATTTTAATATTTTAGTCACTTAATGATCTGGTCATTCAACTTTTTGTCATTAAGCACGAACCAACTTATCTTAGTGGTTAAAGTAATCGTTATTATTATTTGAGATCACGGTTCGAGCACCAACGATTGTAGCAAGGTGATTAAGTATTCATTGTCAAATGATTGAGAATATTTAGAACAAATACTACTTCGTAGTCACCTCAGCTTAATAAAAAAATCTTTTTTACCATTAATGTTTTGATCATCAGAACAATTTCACTTTGATATCTTACTAATAAATTATTATTTTTTAATAAATATTAATATTTAATGTAAAGTAGACAAATGGTTCCACGAATATAGGATATTGTTTTATTAAGTCCATCGATCATTAAAAGTTATAAAATGATCTTCAGACTATAGAGTGTTGTTTTGTTGAGTCACTCAACTATTGAAAGTTACAAAATGGTCACAAGACTATTCATCATGTTCCAAACTCGTCCTTCTCTGTTAAAAAAATTATGTTATTCTTAGTTGTACGTTAACATGCTGACTAAGATATGATAAAATTTGATCCTAGAAACTCAAATGATTATCATATCTCAATTATCATGTTAACGTTCAGCTTATACAACTGCCAATTTTTAATAAAAAAGACGAGTTTGGAACATAATGAATAGTTGAGTGACCATTTTGTAATTTTTAATATTTAAGAGACTTAATAAAGCAACAACCTGTAGTCATAAGATCATTTTATAACTTTTAATAGTCGAATAAGTATTTTTCCCTAATATCTAAAACATACATTTATATGAGAATAATATCTATTTCATAGAGATGGATTGAAGGAAGTGTTTGAAGGTATGTTTGTACTCCTTCAAATTCTTAAATTCTTATATAATTTATGTATTTTTTTAATAAAAATTTAATTTTATACTCATGAAACTTTATAATTTTGAATTCCATGCATTTCTAATATAACTTTGGCATAACCCAATCAAGATAATAAAATAATATTTTTCCCAGCATTTTCGTTACTTATTTTTAGCCTAGCTTGGGTGGATAATATACCGGGAAGATATACCAACTGAGGTGAAAATTTTCACGGTTGGTTACCCAAGGCTTATAGCCTAAAAGAATATAATACATATTTGAGAGGAGAACAATTTCACACTAATTTTATTGTGTTTTATAGTTTCGTGTATGATATTTTCAACATATAATTACAAATTTCTAAAGTTAAAGGGTTCTTTTTGTATTATTGATTCAGTAACATTTTGGGAGTTTCTGGTTACTTAAAGGCGGTGTTGTTCATAATGGTAATAGCCAGCTAACCTGGCGACAGGAACTGAGCTGCAATTAGCCCAAAGCAGCTCACTTTCCAGTAAAGCCGCGTGTTATCATGAACCGTGTTTTTGTAGGGTCGTTGTCAGTGCGATATGGCAGCTATTTTTTATATACAAAACAACTGTCCACAACCAAGCTCAAGGGAGCTTCCTTGGCGCTTCCCACGCCCTTTTCTTTTACTACATAAATGACATGCTCTACCATTGCCCTCACCACCATCACACCGCATTTTCAAGTTATTAACTTCTCATTTTCCTACATATTCCCTCGTTTGTATCTGCTACCCGTGCAAAAACCAGTAAACGAAATGAGTTCTTCAGGTCTCGAGTTTACCTTGCTTATGCCTCTTATTCTCGGCTGTCTTATGGCAGCAAACGCCGGCAACCTCCACAACGATTTCGACATCACATGGGGAGATGGCCGTGGTAACATCATCAATAATGGAGAGGTTCTCACTCTTTCTCTCGATAAAGCTTCTGGTTCTGGTTTCCAGTCCAAGAATGAGTATCTTTTTGGCAAGATTGATATGCAACTCAAGCTTGTTTCCGGCAACTCTGCTGGCACAGTCACTGCATATTATGTAAGTTATTATCCATTCATTTCTTCTTTCTCCACTCTTTTTACATAATAGATAACAGTTGTTTATAATATGATGGAATTACTTGCTTATATTTCACTATTTGTATGTGCAGCTATCTTCGAAAGGATCGACATGGGATGAAATTGATTTCGAGTTCCTTGGGAATCTGAGTGGCGACCCTTACATTCTTCACACCAATGTATTCAGTCAAGGAAAGGGCAACAGAGAACAACAGTTCTACCTCTGGTTTGACCCAACTGCAGATTTCCATACTTATTCCGTCCTCTGGAATCCCCAACGCATCATCTTCTCTGTGGATGGTACACCCATCAGAGAGTTCAAAAACATGGAATCGCTTGGTGTCCCGTTCCCAAAGAACCAGCCCATGAGAATTCACTCCAGCCTGTGGAATGCTGATGACTGGGCCACGAGGGGTGGTCTGGTCAAGACCGATTGGACCCAAGCTCCTTTCACCGCCTCTTACAGGAACTTCAATGCCGAGGCTTGTGTGTGGTCCAATGGAGCTTCTTCCTGCCAATCAAATTCACCATCAACCAACAACGCATGGTTATCTCAAGAGATGGATTCAACGAATCAACAAAGGCTGCAATGGGTGCAGAAGAACTACATGATCTATAACTACTGCACTGATACCAAGAGGTTCCCTCAAGGTCTACCCCCAGAGTGCAACATGTCTTGAAAGACTTATGAGCCTGCCACTTAGGGATAGTTATATTAGATTATCAATATTCATTATTCTTTGAATTTTTTATTATCTTTATTTTGATATTTGAGAATTTTCATTACTTTGTATCTGACAGATTAATAAAAACATATTTCAAAAGGTAAATAGGATTCTTAAAAGTTAAATCTATATTTTAGTTCTTATATGATTTTGATTGAAATGATATATAACACAAAAGTAGACACTGCCCATTTGATTGCTGCGACTGAGTCAGGAACTAGGAAGAAGAAGAAAAAGTTGGACTCACCCTTTCTTTAGTTTAAACCGATGCATCCACTCTGTTAGTTGAAATGATATTTGAGCATACGCCATCATTGAAATAAATATAAAAATTCAGGTCAACGGTTATATTTAGTTTTAATGGCGGTGATCACAATAAAATGGGTAAAGTATAGTAATGGTCACTGAACATTTCAGAAGCTTGCATTTAGGTCCCCCAACATTTAAAACTTGCAATACAGTCCCCCAACATTTATTCCGTTTGCAATATGGTCCCCCAACTTAAACCACAGTTAGAAAATTAGGATAAATTATATAAATGGTCATTGAACTTTTCAGTCACTTGAATTTAGGTCCCCCAACTTTTAAAACTTGCAAAACAATCATCAATTTCATTCTAAACCCCAATTTCCAAAGTAATTCAATTTTATTCTAAACCCTAAATTCCAAAATACTTAAATTAAATTCAATTATGTCAAAGTTATTATTATTTAATTTCATCTTATTTCATGTGATACGTATTTTTTATATAAATATAATAGTATAATTCTTATCTGTTGAATAATTTTTTTAATTAAAAAAAGTAGTTAGGATATAAAAGAGGTTGAAAATAATTCGAATTTTAAATTTATAAAATGTTATTTTGACGTATAAATAAAAGTGTAAATTACTCGGTTGACAACTTAACTATCTAGCCCTTTTTACTTTTGTCATCGATCTTTTAAATTTATCAATCATACCACATAATTATTTAACTGTTTCAACTAAGCCACTAGTCGTTACCAATTGATAAAAATGATGATGTGGCAGTTAAAAGGAATTGACATTATTATACATTCAGCCTTTATTATTTATATAATCAATTTGGTCCTAAATTAAATAAAATTTAATAAATTAATCATTTAATTAGGATCTGACATGTGTTAGCACATGATCATGACATGTGTCATTGGTGACACGTGTTACCACCTAATTATTTATATATGCTATCAATTTGGTCCTAAATTAAATAAAATTTAATAAATTAATCATTTAATCAGGATCTGACATGTGTTAACACATGATCATGATATGTGTTATTGGTGACACATGTCACCTCCTAATTAGAAGAAAATTAAGTTACAAAGAAGTAAAATTTGGGTCTTGGGCAAACTCAAACCTGAGTCACGCAAATGAAAGATATAGGGTGGAGCCACTAAGCTAACACCATCGTTTGTGTTAAGAGATATACAATAATACATATACTAATAGTATGACCAATGCCAGAAAAAAAAGAATATAATGTAAAATGGAAATAATGAGATTTGAACTTCGGCAAAAAATTTGAAAGCAATAAATGATGGGAAAATATTATATTTTTTACAATAAAAAAATATTATATTTGATAAATTGTTTGATAGATTTAATATATTTTTTAAATATTAGTTGATACAATATTTTAAAAGAATAAATTTAAGATTTATATATTTTAAACTAAATTTAATAATTATATTTTTCATATTATAATTCATATATATATAATCTTAAGTTGAGTATTTCTAATATAATTAATAATTTTAATTTCTTATTAAAAATAAAATATTCAAAAAATATAAATGATTCATACATTAATATATGAATATATTTTTATTTATACATCTAAATATAAATATACATTTATATAAATATATTTTTATTCGTTGTGTCTGTGCCTTGAACTCTTTCTTCAAGCCTATATTACCTTAAATTGAAGTATTTTAGAATTTAATTGAAGTATTTTAGAATTTAGGATTTAGAATAAAATTGAATTACTTTGGAAATTGGGGTTTAGAATGAAATTGATGTCTGTTTTGCAAGTTTTAAAAGTTGGGGGACCGAAATTCAAGTGACTAAAAAGTTCAATGACCGTTTATATAATTTATCCTAATTTTCTAACTGTGGTTTAAGTTGGGGGACCATACTGCAAACGGAATAAATGTTGGGGGACTATATTGCAAGTTTTAAATGTTGGGGGACCTAAATGCAAGTTTCAAAAATGTTCAGTGACCATTACTATACTTTACCCTAATATTAAAACATAAAGTTAAGTTGATTTTCGGAAAAAAATATGTCGACTAAACAAAACTGAAATAATAATTAGGTGACTAAATATACAATTTACCCTAAGTTTTATCCCAATTTAAAGTTTTTTATGTATTACTACAATAATTGATGAAACACTAATATTATCTCAAGTGAATATATATTATCTTACTCTTATGGATGCTTTGACTTTTAGTATTAAAATTCAAACTTTTTTCATAATTATATTTAATTTTTTTTATTAATTTAAGGTCGGACACCATCTTACCTGATCTGCGTTGTACCAGAAACGTGTCGGGTTCGGGAGACGGTTACAGTCAAGGAAGGATTAGCACCTTTAAAACGCCCTTTCGGTACCAATTAATTTATCGATTGTCTTTAATTGCGAAAATTAAAAACTTAAATTGAAATTTAAAAATCCGATTCAAATTACTTACCTTTGATTGGTTGGAAAATAAAAGTCGAAAATGTTAGATAAAAAATAACAAACAACTATTAAATAAATCAACATTGTCTTCATTTTTTTGAAACCAAATTATGCAATCAAACAATCAATTATTGACGTAATTATGCTAATAGGTTAATTAAGGTTTCATCTAACTAAAGTGTCAAATTATGGAATTAGATGACTTAATAAAGCTAATCCTAAAATTGAGGCTCTAAATATTCATGCTAAATAACTTTTGATATTTTAATCGAATAATAAAAAACCTCAAGCATAAGCATAAACTATTTTAAAAAATTCCCTAATTATTCAAAGTGATTACCTAATAAAGGAAGGCTGATAGTTTTGAATCACAGTCAAGTAACCTCCAAAATTAAGGCTAAACTAAATACCATGGAATCACGAGCTAATCTAGAAATTAAGATATACCAAGTTTAAAGGGGGCAAGTACATGGAAACTCAAAATAAAAGTAAAGTAAAGCCTATATTCATGGCTAAAATTACAAACTAATAAAAAGAATAAGGAAATAAAATTAATAAGGAACAAAGACATGCATGAATCAAGTATATTCCATATCAACACAAATGGCTTAGATCACGCACTACTAAACGAAAATGAATTAAAAAAAACATAGAATCAAGACGTAAATTTAAATAAATTAGAAGGTTCAAAATAAAACCAAAACTTTAAACATGGCCAAAGTGAAAACACTACAAAAGATTGAACCTTCCTCAAACCAATATCCCACATTTTCTAAACATGGATTTCTCAACCTTTACATACACAAAACACCTGTGCCTTACCCATGAATGAGTTTGGTACCGAAAAATTGGTACCAAAACTTTAAATTTGGTATCGCCCCTTGATAGCTTTGTCGGATGTTCTAAAAAGGCATCAACTTCAGGTCCTTTGAAGGTACGCCAGCCTCTCTCTCGCTTCCAATCTCCTGAGATCCAGATAAGATTCAAGTGCTTTAGCTGGAACTGTAATTCCTCTTTGATCGAACTACTTCCATTTCTTCTTTCTTTTTCTGTGAGCAGCTCGGATGATTAAGCTTACGAACGGCGTTTTCGTTATTTTCCCTTTGATTTCTCTGTGTTTTTTTCCCGAATACTACGTATAATTCTCGTCTCTTTTCTTTATTGTGTATTTCCATGAATATTTATAGCGCTAGATTTCAATCCAGTTTTAGACTCTCATTAGGACTGAAATTACTGACTTGGTTGTTCTTCAGTTTGAGTGGGTACCGAGAATTTTGGTTTGTTGGAAACGGCCAGAACGGGCGAGGAGTCTTCGAAGGAAGGAGTTGCGGCTGAAACGACACCTAACTATTTCGGGTCAGACTTCAATGGACTCGGGTCTCGGGTCAGGCTCCGGATCCGGGTCTGTGGGGCTCCACTTGTACTTGGGCTGCTGGATTTGAATGTGTAACACTTGTATTTGGTTTTTGGCCTTATTCTATAAATGAATGAAAAAATAAATTAATATGTATACATAATAATAAAATATATGCTATATAATTATAGTATATAACATAGTATGTATATATTATATAACATAATACATATAAATTATATACCATAATTAATAACACATTGACTATATGTTATAAATTAATATAAATTAATTTATAAAAGTAGGACGAAAATGTGTGTCAACACTGTATTTATCAAATGTAATTAATCTTTTATGTAATTATTATATATTTTTGTATATATATATATATATATATATATATTGGTTAAAAGAATAAATACATTTATATTTATACCGAATAAATATAATTATTTGTATATAATATGTAAACATAAATAATTTGAATAATTTATAGAAAAATAAATAAATATTTATGTGTGTGGATACATAAAATAAAAAATTATATATTAAAGGTCTCATTTATTAAAAAATTATGTGTAAAATAATGGCGAGCCTTCTTTTAGTAACTCTACAGTCTCTACTATGTTGTATTTTGACGTTTAGTGATAAATGATACTAATTCATTAACTTTTTATCTTAACTAACTTTTCATACTAATTACTGATTTAATTGTTAATTTTGTTAAGGATTATATATATAAATTAAATATATTTAAATTGAGATTTAAATATTTATGTATATGGATACATCGATTTTTAGGGTAAAGTACACAAAGGGTCCCTCGATTTTAGGGTATTGCTTTATTAAGTCCCTCGATTATCAGAAGTTACAAAATAATAATCCAACTATAGAGTGTTGCTTTTTTGAGTCCCTCAACTACTAAAAGTTATAAAATGGTCACCCAATAATTCTTTATGTTACAAACTCATACTTTTCTATTAAAAAATTGATGGTATTCTGAATTGAGCGTTAACCTGTTGATCGTGATATAATAAGATCTAATCTTAGAATCCCAAATGACTATCATATCACTGTCATTATGTTAACGACCAGCTTAGACAACCATCATTTTTTTAATGGAAAAGGTCGAGTTTGGAATATAACTAATAGTCAGGTGACCATTTTGTAACTTTTAATAGTCGCGAGACTTAATAAACCAACATTCTATAGTCAGAGGACCATTCTGTAACTTTTAATAGTTGAGGGACTTAATAAAGTAATATCCTATAATTGGGGGACCATTTGTGTACTTTTCCCTTTCTTTTAATTGGATTCAATTGTTTTAAATTCTTATCACAAGATTTTGCATCCAAATTAACAAATGGACACAAATGCTCGTGACAATAACTAGGAAGGTCGGGAACTTGGGAAAAGCATGAATCTTAGAATAGGATTCTCAGTCAATTTATAGCGAGTTTTCTTCTCCTCCAACATCACTGTCTCTTTGAGAGAGATAATTGGAGAAGTGATTGGAACTAGAAAGAGAGATGGGATCTGGGATTCAGAAAATGGAAGCCTTGCTAAGACTTACTGCTATATCCATGTTGGTTTTGACTGCCTGCTTAGTTGGCTTCGACTCTCAAACAAAGGTCGTCTTCTACATTGAAAAGAAAGCTTCCTTCAAGGATTTACGTGCTCTCGTGTAAGATGTTTATCATTTATCACTTGTAAAACAACAAATACATATGTATTTTTTGATTGATTCTGATAAAAAAGATTTGACAGTGGATTGGTGTATGTCACTTCGTTGGCTGCTGCTTATAACCTCCTTCAACTAAGTTGTTCTTCGTTCTCAGCTCGTTGCAAAGGAAGCTCACTGCAATCTTGCACGTATCTAGCTTGGCTTCGTTTTGTTTTGGACCAGGTAGATTTTTTTACCCATCTTCTAATATTTCGTCCAAGATTATTTAAGGGTAAATTACACGTTTAGGAATTAAACTATAAATTTTAGTCTATTTTAATACCTAAACTTTCAAATTTTTCAAAACCATACTTAATTTTTAGTTTTTGTTTCATTTCGGTATATAACTGTTAAAACTCAACGACACTGCATTTTTTATGAGTAAATTATATCATTCATCACTCAACTATCTTATCACTCCTGTTTTGGTACTAAAGTTTAAAAAATTCAATTTAAATACTCAACTGTTAAATTGTTCATGTTTCAAGAACTCTAATTTATTTTATTAATAAATTTTGTGACATGATATTTTTATTATTATTTTGTTAATATATAATTAAAAATAAACTTGAAAGTTATTTTGATTAAATTAGGAGTAACTTGAAAGTTAAGTAATTATAATTTTTAAAAATAAACTATAGTGACGAAAATAGGAGTGAGAAGATAGTTGAGTGATGAATGATGTAATTTTCCCCATAAAAAAGGTGCCACGCAAATCATCCGTTAAAATTTTAACGGCCAGATACTAAAATGAAGTAAAAACTAAACGTTATATATGATTTTGAAAAAATTGAAAGTTTATATACTAAAATAGATCAAAATCGATAGTTTGGTTACTAAACGCATAATTTACCCATTATTTAAACTAAGTCGATATTATGACGTTTTGAAATGCTTTGTCAGGCAGCAGTGTACGTGGTGTTTGCAGGGAACTTAGCGGCAACGGAGCATGCGCTTCTGGTGGTAACAGGAGAAGAGAACTTCCAGTGGGTAAAGTGGTGTGGTAAATACAGTCGATTCTGCGTCCAAATCGGAGGGTCGCTGCTCTGCGGCTTCGGAGCAAGTGTCGCTATGATTTTCATCGCTTCCATCTCCGCTTTCAACTTGTTTAGGCTTTATTCCCCTACCAAGTTCATGCACTTGAAGCCCAAATCATAAGCACTCCTAGTCAAGCCCACTTTGAGTTGTATATTATTATGTTATTCATTGACATGAGAAAAAAAGGTAAAAAGGCGTTATAGAGGTATTTGTACTTTTGAAAAAAATAATGTGATCTTTGTATTATTATTTTTTTAATGTGATCTTTCAATTCAGAAAATAAATTTAATGTGATTTTTGACCAACCTTTTTTCTTCATTGATTGTTACGGTGATGGCGTGACAGTTCACGATGTTGACTGACGATCTACGGTACTGATGTGACGGTTCACAATATTGATGTGCGGTCCACTATGATGATGTGGTGGTCCATCTACCATGTTTGAGTTACTAATTCAATCTATCTGTCATGTTTGAGTTATTAATTTAGTCCATCTGTAATATCATCTACCACGTTATCAAACATCATGGACTGCCACATCAGTCCACTGTGAACTGTCACGTCAGCACCATAACGATTAATGACGAGAAACTTTGGTCAAAGGGTCATATTACGTTTATTTTCTGAATTAAAGGACCACTTTAAAAGAAAAAATAATACAAGAGTCAGATTAAATTATTTTCAAAATACAGAGACCTCCTACGTTTTTTTCCCGAACAATGATAATGAAATGTTTCTTAACGTTGCTTGTAATTCTTTTTTTACTAAGAGTGTACCTGATTATACTAAGAGTGCAAAACATGGACCAAGGATGGCTATTCTGCTCCTGCAATTTCTCTTGCCGTTTTTATTCAAAAATCACTCTAACACCGAAATATTACTTGTTAGACATAATTTCTCCAAATCTTACTGATCTAGCATTCATTTTGACAAAGTACGGATCATGAAGCGCGCTTTCGCGGGGTTCTATCCGAGCTATCGCCACATTAGAAGGCACAAATCATGAAGTGCACCTTCGCAGGGTTCTGTTCGAGTTGATCTGCGCCTTTCATTTAAATCCAATGGTCCGCCATAAATACCGCTCAACCGTCCGTCCGCCTCCCCTATAAATACCGTTCTCCCTTTCAACACTTGCACCACAAAACGAAAATATTATATTTCTTCCTTTTATCTATCCTTCTATCATTGCACCAACATTAGGCATATCCGAAAATTCTGGCCCGTACATTACACCATAGTCAGCTTCATACATTTGTTCTGGAGGTTCCGTATGTACCGTATTTGTGGGAACTTCATCTACATCATCATCATCATCGGAGTCCATGTTGAATTGCAGTGATTATGGCTCAACGAATAGTTCAGTCTCAGCACCATTCGCACCTGACTCACGAAGAGGTTTTTTTGGTGGAGATGAGGGTTCCTATGTGATGCCAATATTTAGGTCGAACAAGCTTTTAGTTGAATATATTTCCCTTGAACTTGAAGGCATCGTGTCATACGGGGTTTTGAACTAGGTGTTGTGTCGCAGACATCTTCACATTGAGGTCGAAGAAGCTCGCAGTTGAATGCCTCCCCCTGTAACTTGAAGGCATTATGTCAAATGAGTACTGAACAGATTGTTGTGTCGATGACATCTTCATATTTAGGTCAAAGAAATTGGCAGATGAATGTCTTCCCCTTGAACTGGAAGTGATGTCACCATACGAATTGTTCATAGAGCCACCTCGGTGGAGATCGTAACAAGTTGTTGATGATTGTATCCCCATTGAACTTGATGGGATTATATCAGGATGTGAATTTCCCATTAATGAGTTAAAATCATTAAACATTACTTGAGTTGGGCTATCAACTTGATCAACTTGTTGAGCCAGCCCATAGTAGGAGCATAATGTCATACCACGAACAGCAAAAACTTCAACAAATCTGGCATACATTTGTGTATTAGCGTATGAATTTTGATTTTGAGCATCAACCATCACAACAACATCGTCATCGTTGGAGAGTTCGAACGCTGTATAAATTAACGAAAATAGTGCAGTTGGAAATATATTCTGAAGTGAGGACAGTCTTCTAGTACTTCCAACATAAATTTTTCTTGAAATTTTAATGATCAACTCCTCAAGAGTGATGTTTCTCTTGAAGGGTATTCTGAAAGAATAATTTGATACGAAGACAACGTCAGTTTCATCTTCCCAAATTTCTCTATCATAGTAAACAATAGCTGAAATATGTCTCATTTTGAGAGTTTGAAAGATTGAGAGTCATATATTTGTAAAAATAATAAATGAAATACATCTAATTAAATAAATAAAATACGAATTAAAATATAAATTAATGCTAAAAATAAAAAAAATCACAATAATTTAAATAACACAATTTAATATTGTTACCGTATCGATAAAATGTCTCGAGATATGATCTCGCCTTCCATTTTACAACCGCAAAAAATAATAGAAAATAATTAGTACAATAAAATTTGGTCAAATAATTAAATATAAAATAAATATGATATAATAAAAAATAATTTTACATTTTAAAAAGTATAACAAAATATACTTAGCTTGATAGAAGAAATTGATAAAAGGAAGAATATGATAGTAATTTTAGTGTGGGTTTATATTTTCATTCGATGGTATTTATAAGGGAGGAGAATGAGTGAATAGCTGAGATTTAAGGCTCGGGTAATAATGGAAGGCGCGTCATGATATGTACCTTTCTATACGTGTCAGATTTTCCCGCGAAGGCGTGCTTAATGATCAGCGCCTTTCAACATGGTGTCAGCTCGGACAGAACCCCGCGAAGACCCACTTCATGATCCGTGCCTTTCAACATGACACCAACTCGAATAGAACTCCACGAAGGCGCGCTTCATGATCTTCGCTTTATCATAAAGGATGTTAATTCGATAATATTTAAAAAAAATTATATAACATATAATATTTCGTTGTTAAGGTGATTTTTAAGTAAAAACGTCCAATTTCTTCATATGACCGACATCCAATCCATTATTTCAGCTAATGTGACAAAAGTGACACAACTGCTGCTTTGGTTTATCCGTGAGAGAGAGGCATTTGCAAAGTTGGCACGTGTCATTCCCAGCACACAAACAACAAACCAAAGATCGAAACACCAATTGAATAATAATATAAAACATAGATATAAACCACAAGAAGTTTCCATGACATGTTCTACGACATTTGTTTTTCCAATTTGTCCACAAATCATATACATTAAAAAAAACTACAAACATTTTCATGACATGCTCCAATGGAGTAATAACAGTTTCCTCGACTCTGGGGTTTCCAAAAGTGACAAATTCAATTCCTTGACATTAAAAATCACCAGCACAACACACTTGGGCTAGTTGGGTACATCTCCTGATAGCATCTTTTCTACATGGAACTGTCCCATTTGGGGCTAGTTTGGTGCATCTGCAGCAAGCTTTTCTCGTAGAACTTTCCGCAAAATCTTGCCCGAGGGAGCTTTAGGGATCGCATCCGTGAAGAAAACATGGCCCAGCCTCTTGTAAAACACAACCTGTGCAAATAATAATCAAACCATGGGGTGCCATATACAACATTCAAATAACTCGAGGACTCGATTTAATGTTACAAACAACTTTTGGCATCACCTGCTTTGAGATGAACTGCTTAATCTCATCCTCAATGATCTTGGAACCGTTGGATCTTACAACGAATGCAACTGGAATCTCTCCCGCCGCTTCATCTTTCATACTGGAATACATATATATGATAGATGCTTATGTGATTTGCATGACTCAAATTATTGTTCGACGCAAGGATGGATCGAGGGGTATTGGGGTTCAGTCTCACCCCCTAAAATTTTTAAATTCCCTTATATTTTAGATTTTTTTTGTATTTTTTATTGATTATCTAATTTCGCTCCCTTTAAAATCTCTAATATAAATTTTTAAGTTCACACCCTGACACAAATTTATGTGTTCGTCCCTGATTCGACATTATTTTGTTAAAGGAGACTTACGGTACAACAGCAGCATCGGAGATGTCGGGATGAGAAATCAGCATTGCTTCGAGCTCGGCAGGTGCCACTTGAAAGCCTTTGTACTTTATTAATTCCTTCAATCGATCGACAATGAAAACTTCATCGTCGTCGTCAATGTAGCCAATGTCACCCGTGTGCAACCATCCATCTTTATCTATGGTTTTCTCCGTGGCTTCAGGATCATTAAGATAACCTAAACAATCGATTTTCACAAACGAAAGCAAATAAATTTTACAAAAGATTGTAAATAAGGAGAAGGAATGAAGCTAAATTCCATATATAACAATGCATGTTTGACATCTCACTCAATTCATGCCCCAATCAAAAGCCATTATTGTCTTAGGTAGAAGTCCTGATCAAGGGCTGGTAAAGATGAATTAAAATACCTTGCAATATATGTTCAAAGTCAATGTTTCCCAGTGAAAATCACAATTAGATACATGCGCATGTGCCTAGATACATGCACATGTGCCTAGATACGTGTGGGATGTTGTTCACCATATACAAAGCAATAATACAAAGGAAGAATTTATGGATAATAATTAGTGTAGTAATAATATTTTTAATTGGTTTAAAATCTTACCTATATAATTACTAGATCATGAAATATAAATTGATTTATTAAAACATTTTGCAAAACTGTTGTATATATATATATTCAAAGAAAATGAAATATTTTTAAGTTGTTATCAATGGCACTTCACATATAGCATTAAGCTGTCAGCTTTCATAAAAAATATTATAATTTTTTTTTAAATGAATCAGAGGTCGGCATTTTTGAACATTTCTTATTTACAAATTACAACTTCGGCTAAGGCTTTGACTTTGGGGCCTGCAAAAGATGCATCCCACCAGACAAATTGGTTATCTAAATAGTGTGTTAAAATATGAGTACAAGTTCATAGATTAAGGGAGTGTTTATGTGTACGAAAGGGTTATCTAAATAAAGTGGTATAGTTTGAGAATATACATTTAATGTCAAATAGTTAAAAGTTATATGTAAATACTTGTAGTTACTTTAGATTAATAAAAAATAAATAAAGTGGTAAAATTTAAAGGGCAAATTATGAATTTAGCACATAAATATCATATATGTCTGTTGTAGTACTTAAATTTTTAATTTTTTTTTCAAAATCATACCTAACGTTTAGTTTTTGTTTCGTTTTAGTATCTCGCCGTCAAAAACTTATCAGGTGATTTGCACGCCGCACCTTATGGATAAATTGCATTATTCATCACTTAACTATTTTTTTCTTCCTATTTTGGTCACTAAAGTTTAAATTTTTTAATTTAATTACTTAATTTTCAAATTACTCATAATTCAATCACTCTAACTTTAAAATTTATTTATTTATTATTTTAATTATATATATTAATAAAATAAAAATAAAAATATCATGTCACAAAAATTATTAATAAAATAAAATAGAGTGATTAAAACAAGAGCAATTTTAAAGTTGAGTGGTTAAATTGAAAATTTTTAAACTTTAGTACCAAAATAAGAGTAAAAAGATAGTTGAGTGATGAATGATTTAATTTACCCATAAAAAATAAAATAAAAAGTAAACGTTCAGTATGGTTTTAAAAAAATTGAGGGTTTAGGTATTAAAACGAATTAAAATTAATAGTTTAGGTACTAAATATGTTATTTAACCAATTTAAATGGTTTTATACCTTTCATGATCTGACTTCCCCGAATGCAAATTTCGCCGGACCGATTACGCGGAAGCGATGCCCCAGTTTCAGGATCCACAATCTTCATTTCAGCATTCCTTACCACAGTGCCACATGCACCAGATTTTGTGTCCCGCGGCTCTTTCGCAAAAGCCAAGTTCATGGCCAGCACCGGCCCTGCCTCCGTCATGCCGTAGCCCTGAACTCACCGCCACAAACCCATTAATATTGCAGTTAGTCCCCTAACCAACACCAAAATGCATATTAATGTTGGGTGGTGCTGGGTTCAGTCATGCTTTGGCCTTTATTATAAACAGAACTTGGTAGGTCAGTTTTGTTTTAACTTTATGTAAAAGTCCAGTAGAAGAATAAAACTCATTGCACCACCAGCATTTATTAGAGGAAAGCAATATCGGTGGTTTAATATTTTGGAAATAAAATTATTTTGGTCCAGAAAATTTGGAAGGGAATTATTTTCAAAAATAATGAGATTTTTATTTGTTTTTGTTTTTATCATATAAATAAAGCTGACATCTCGAAATTATTAGTCCTTCAAGGCCCCCACGACAATAAGAAACATGGCTATGCTACCACATCTGGAAGACTTTTAGAGGCCATTCCTAAGACCTTGTAATAAGATTTCATTACTGATAGGTTTCTCGTTGCATATGAAACCCAATCTCTAACCCTCCAAATACGACATTAATAGGATCGGTGAAATAATTGAATTTATAAAATTTTAGAAGAAACAAAATTATATTATTAATAGACGTTTATGTCAGTCATCTTTCTCGGTCTATCGTTATATAAACATGTTAACATCAAACATAATTATGTTACCTGTCCCAGTTTAGCGTTGGGAAGCCTGGCTCTAACAGCATCCTCTAGCTCCTTTCCCATCGGAGCAGCGCCGGACATGACCATCCGGATTGATGAAAGGTCGTATTTATCGACGTCCGGAGTCTTGGCAATGGCCAAGACGATGGGCGGGACGAAAGGGGCGATGGTTACCTTGTATTTCTCCACAAGCTCCATTAACGTTACGATCTCAAACTTTTGCATGATCAAAATCGCAGCCCCTACTCTCAGAGAGCAAAGCAACACGGAATTGAGTGAATATATGTGGAACAAAGGCAGCACGCAGAGAATCACATCTCTCTCATGGAAATAAAGGTTGGGATTCTCTCCGTCAACCTGTTGAGCCACGCTCGTTACGAGACTCTTATGAGTCAACATCACCCCTTTCGGTAACCCGGTTGTTCCCGACGAGTACGGAAGTGCCACGACATCGTCGGGATTGATCTTGACGGCTGGGGTTTCATCATCCTCGTCTATCCGATCAGTCAACTCCGAGAAATGCAAACAACCCTCCGGTGGATTATCTATCGTCATGATCTTGACGTCGTTTTCTTTAGCGAATCTCTTCACTTTCTCCGCGTAAGCCGCGTGAGTTATAAGCAGCTTAGTTTTGGACGCCGTCGCCTGCTTCGCAATCTCCGCCGGGGTGTAAAAGGGATTGGCGGTAGTGATGATTGCTCCCCTGAACGATGCACCGAGGAAAGAAAACACGAATTCCGGCGAGTTCTGAAGCAAAAGCATGATAACATCTCCCTGTTGGATGCCGAGTTTGTTGAGCCCGGCTGCCACTTTCCGAGAAGTGAGCTCGACTTCGGCATAAGAATATATCCGACCAGTAGGACCATTGATCAAGCAAGGACGATCTTTGAAGTGGGAAATGTTCTCAAAGCAGTAAGTATGTAAAGGGAGGTGATTTGGGATGTAAATGTCAGGGAGGGTGGACCGGGAGATGAAATCTTGCTGGTCTAGTTTGGCCTCCATTGTTGGGGAGAGTTAGAGAAAGAAGTGAACTTGGGTGAAAGTACAGGGGAAGGGGAAATAAAAGCGAGAAGAAGGTGTGTGTTTGGTCTTTTGCTTTTGGCCGGTCTGGTTGGTTTGAGTTTTGGTTGAGGTAATAAACAAGTAGGTAAAGGTAGAGGGAGCTGCTTTGATTAATAAGTTTACAATTTTCAAGTCACCAATTCTTTTTGGGCAACAAGTCTCCTATTGTCTCATTTCGACATACAGATCTAAATTATCCACAAAACTTAAAAAAATACGTAAAAAAAACATCAACCCTAGTATTATTTTTCTCTCGATGTAGTTTTCCAACTCAGAATATAAACTCAATAGATACTTTGACTAACGTTTTTCGATGTTGATCGTTACAGTATTGACATGTCAATTCACGGTGCTAACATGACTGTCTACAGAGTTGACGTGACAGTCTAACTATCATGTTTGAGTTACCATTTAGCCAATCTATCATGTCATCCGTTGTGTTACCATATACTGTTATGTTAGCACCGTGAACTGTCATATCAGCACCGTAACGGTCGACGATAGAAAAATATTGGTCAAAGGATCACGTTTGGTTTATTTTATGAGTTAAAGGGCCACAATAAAAGAAAAATAATACAAGAGTCACATTGATTATTTTTCAAAAGTACAGGGATCTATGATTTTTATTTTGCTGGAAAAGTATATATGACCTTGGCAAATATATTATTTGATAAATAGGGAAATAATGGGGTTTGGTGAGAGCTATGAACAAAAAAGTTTACAGACTGCAGCAATGAGGTCACATATTTGAGTCTGAAATTGTTATTTCTTTATGCAAATTAATCACAGCTACCAATCCAGACTCCATCACGAAAGAGATTCCGCCAATTCTTTATTTCTAAACTGTGTTTTCAACGTGACACCATTCCCCATAAACATTTCTTCACGAGTTGGATGACCCACTCACTCAAGTACTGCAAGTCTTCACTTCACATACCAGATTTCGTGGTTTCGTCTATCAAAATTGCTTGTAATCAAATTGAAAAGTCGTATTATCTTCTATTGATGATCACTTCAAGTCTTACAACTCTTTTTATTTAAGACTAAAGTATTTTTGGAATTAATTTTTGGAAGTTAGGGTTTCGGTTTTACCTTCAAATAAATCTTCACAATTAAAGTATTGGAGATAGATTTTTGAGACTTAATATATTTTATTTTCGTAAAAAAATGAGAATGAAAATTGCTACTCTTTACGCAAATCACAGCTATCTATGCAGACTCCATCACGAAAGAGATTCATCCATTTCTTTATTTCTAAACCGTGTTTTCAATGTGACGCCATTCCCCCCCCCCCCACACACAAACATTTCTTTAAGGTCGTCTTATTCTTCACCACTTGGATGACCCAATCACACAAGTATTGCACGTCTTCACATACTAAATCCCTTTTATTATGTATCAAAATTACTTGTAATCCACTGACGGGTTGATTCAAGTGGTAAACAGCTTGATAACTTTTAAGTAGGGTCTCAAAATCAAGTCCTTATGTATACAAAAAATCTCCGCTGGGAGAGTCACGCATTAAAGCCAAATGTGTGATTTGGGTCTGTCAAAATTCGTCGACAATAAGATTAAAAATTTCCAAATACAAAAGATAAAGAAAACCCAAAAATCCGGTACCATGTTCGTTGTGAAGCCGGTCTCTAAGTTGCACAAACCAACTTACTTCAGTATCTCAATGGTTAAAAGAATCGTTGTTCTTCTTATAAGTCATAGGTTTGAGCATCAACGACTGTAATAAAGTGATTAAGTGTTCATTATCAAATAATTGATCAAATAATTGATGATATTTAAAATATTTTGGAATTGATTATTGGAAGTTAGGATTTTGGTTTTACTTTCGAATAGAACTTCATAATCAAAACATTGGAGATTAATTTTTGGACTTTAAGATATTTTATTTTCGAACCAGAACATCACTTGATTTGCGTACAAATTTTTAGAATTTATATATATATATATATATATATATATTATTATAATTATATTTATATATTTTACAACTTTTTAATCTTTCAAAAACTTATTTTTTATTTTTAAAATATACTAAATCATATAATTTGCATATTATAAAACAATAAAGAACATCATGTGCAGCGTTCTAAAGGTCACGTGTCAATGTTTCTGGCCATAGAGATCTAAGAACCAAAGATTAAGTGCCGAACTGGGAAAAAAATATGATACAGTTGGAGGTCCAATATCATTATTAAGCATTACTTCCATATGCTATTACTAAAAGTGTTTATTGTGTGAGTCGATCGTGAGTTTGAGCAATATTCGATTTGTGTTTGTTAAAAATTTTATTATTTGATTCGACTCGTTGCTCGTTAAACTCGTTAAAATTTTGTTCGACTCGTGCTCGTGTCGCTCGTTAAACTCATTAAATTAGTTGTTCACCTCGTTGCTCGCTAAGCTCACCAAAAAATTTATTTTTTTAACTATAAGTAAAATATAATAATACTATATAGAACTTAATATAAACATATATTAATAAATTTAACTAAAAAATTATCAAGCATGTATGAAACAAATTCAAAGTCTAAATATTAAAATAAAAATTACTAAATATATTAAAATAATAATTAAGGTTTGATATCGATGTATAGCAAAATAATAATTATTAATAAATAATTTCATGTTTTTAATTATTTATTAGAAAACTAATAGATTATTAATTTGTCATATTTTTATTATTAATTAGTAAATTAGTAATGTGTTGAATAAAATAATTTTTTAAAATAATTATTAAAAAGTTTTAAAAAATTAATGAATTACTCACAAACTTATCAAATAAAATTAGGTTTTGCTCAACTCAACTCGTTAAAATTTTGAGTTGAGTTCGAACCGAATCAATCCTTAAACTTTTATTAAATTTTAATCAGGTCGAATTTAAACTGCTCACCACCTCTTACCTCCGGTTATTTGACAGGCATAACCCATAACCCTAACCTTCTTAAAAGCAGCGGCTGATCGTACGACGCGGAAGCCGAAATCACAGCTCAATCGCGGTACCCGAGAGCACTACAACAATGTTTTTCCAGAAATTTTCATCGGAAAAGAGGTAAATTTGCTGATTTTGGAGCTACCCATTTAGAGTAATGTTGAGAAGATCGAAAAAACTTGCATTTAATGCCAGAAAAAAACCTACAATCTGTTTCTAAAACCCCGTGTTCAGTTTTCTCATCTGGGCATGATTCCCAGAGCAATCAATCAGACCCTGAAAATGAATGGCAGAAATTACTCAAACTATTTTAGCTCGATGAACTCCGAAAATCATTCAATAAGATTACTCCGTATCAGCTCTCAAAATTACTTGAATTGCCACTTGATGTTCCCACATCTTTGAAGTTGTTTCAATTGGCGGGTTCTCAGAAAGGCTATTGTCATACTTTTGACGTGTATTATGTTCTTATTGAAAAACTTGGGGCGGCTAAGGAATTTAAACCTATAGATAGGTTGTTGATGCAAATGAAAGAAGAAGGGATCCTTTTTAGAGAATCCCTCTTCATTTTGATAATGAAATGTTATGGAAGAGCCTGTTTGCCAGGCCAAGCTTCTAGATTATTATTGGATATGAAGAGTGTTTACTTTTGTGAAACAACATATAGGTCTTACAGTACTGTCTTGAGTATTCTGGTAGCTGGGAATTGTTATAAAGTTACTCCTAATGTTTTTCATGACATGTTAAATAAGGGTGTATCTCCTGATGCTCTTACATATGGTTTTGTAATCAAAGCCCTTCGTATGGATAATAAAGTAGATTCTGCATGCTTATTGCTTAGGGATATGACGAGATATGGATGTGTGCCTAACTGAGTCATTTACAATACTTTGATACGTGCGTTGTCGAAAGGCAACAGAGTTATTGAAGCAGTGAAACTTTTGGAGGAAATGTTTCTGATGGGTTGTGCTCCTGATGTTCAGACTTTTAATGATGTTATATATGGCCTTTGCAAGCTCGATCATATCCATGAGGCAGCGAAAGTGGTTGATAAGATGCTTCTCTGAGGCTACACCCCTGATGCATTTACTTATGGGAGTGGATCTTCGGTACAATTGGAGATTATGGCGTTACTCGTGCTATTAATTTGTTCATGATCTCTAAGCGGTATAAGGTGTTTGATCTCATTATCGAAAGCAATTGCGAGGTAGTTGTGAAATGGATGCAGGTCCCCGCCCTCTCTCCGACTGTTTGGGCGTCCATCCTCCTTCGTGCTGCCTCGGTGGTCTACCGAGAGAAAAGTTCCGGTGAGTTATGTTCCTAGAAGGTGTAATACGGCTGCTGATTACCTAGCGAAGCGTGCGCTGGATTCAGATTTTTTTCAGGAGGAGGTTTCTGTTGGCTTTTGATGCTGGGACTTTGTCTTGGGTCCAAGGGAGTTGCTGTCTGTTTATCTTTGTTTTGCTGTTTGTAGATGGGTTTAGTGTCTTGAGTGGTCTTGTTTTTGTCTGGGAAGGGTTTTTGGGTCAGCTTCTGGGGTGGCTTATCTACGGCTGTCTGCCATGTTGGTGTTCTTTAGTTTCATTGCTTTGGGTGCACTCTTTTTCCTCCTTTTAGGATTAGAGAGGTTTTTTAATGAGGTCCTTGTGGGTGTCATGTACAATATTCAAATAATTTGAGTACTAGATTGAACATTACAAAAAACTTTTGACATTACCTGTTTTGAGATGAACTGTTTAATCTCATCCTCGGTAATCTTGGAATCATTGGATCTCACAACGAATGCAACTGGAATCTCTCCCGCTGCTTCATCTTTCATACTAAAATACATATGTGATAGAAACCGATGTGATCGTAACACCCAAATTACTGTTCAACGTGATTGTGCTAAAGGAGACTTACGGCACAACAGCAGCATCAGAAATGTTGGGATTGGAAATCAACATTGCTTCGAGTTCAGCAGGTGCCACTTGAAAGCCTTTGTACTTTATTAATTCCTTCAATTGATCGACAATGAAAACTTCATTATCATCATCAATGTAGTCGATGTCACCCTCGTGCAACCATCCATCTTTGTGTTTTCTTTGTCGCTTCGGGACGTTTCGGGATCATTAAGATAACTTGAACAAAATCAATGTTTTTCAATTTATTAAGTGTTCGATAAATAATAATATATGATTGCATAAAATAAAAGAATTAAT